CCCCAAAACCCCAAAACCCCAAAACCCCGCATTGCAATTTTTACTAAGTTTACGAGATAATATTTAAAAATTTAATTCTATTGCTTTTTTATCTAGAGAAGGATTGTATATTTTATTGATTTAATAAATGAATACCCAGAATAATCTGATAGCAATTAATACTCAGCAGCCACAGCCACTCCAAATTAGCAATAATATGCAGCCTCTTCAGTCATTACTACCGCTCTCTGCTGCATAATCTCCTAATCAAACAAAAGTGTTGTCTCCAACGACGATGCAGTTTCCAGGTTCACATGGAAAAACTTGTTCAATGGGATCTGACGATTTATACAAACTCAGCCAGATTCAAAGACAGAAATACATTCTGCAGTAAAGTCAGTTATACGCGAGAGCAGGTAACAAATTTAAAGCGCAGGGCAATGGTGCAAGTTAGCCCTCTGCATAAAAGCCAAAATAAAATGGAACGGTCAACTAGTTCGACAACATTGGATGGGTTTTTCTTAAGAATGATTAACTAAACCCGTCAGGTGGAACTGCAGCTAGTCACAATTCATAAAATTCATCCTTTAAAAAGCGCATCCAGAACAGGAAAGAGCTTAATCAAAGCGGAGTCCTTAGTGATAATACCAGTGTTGACTCACAAAATAATGATAGGTCATTCGTAGGAGGATAGAATTTAGCAGAAATAATTTAGAAGCATCAGCAAATAAGGGAGGAACAGAGTGCATCGGTCGACATGAAATAGTTGCAAGACCATTAGGTTCAGTATAATATCCAGGACTTAGATAGCCCCTAGCTAATTTTGGACAAAATACAGACATAAGTTCATGATTAGATGTGTAATGGTGGCTAGAACAACTATTTGAATTTTTAGGCTTTGAATTTCTAAAAGCTTAACCAAAGCACGAAGGTCAATAATGATAGCTATGACTCAAAATATAATAATTCTTAAGGGCAAGAGAAAACTGAGTGAATCCCAAAAATCAACGGATTCAGTGCGAAAGTCAAGGGAGTTTCTCATTCGACTTAGCATTCAGCAAGAGTCAGTATGAATAACATCAATACTGAAAACCAGATCAATGATATTGGTGGAAACGGTTCAAACTTTCAGAGCTTTAAGAAAAATGCGATGAAATTGCCTAAAGTTACTCTTAGACATTCTTTAATCAATCAGTACACTTCCTAGAAAACATCTTCCCAGCCTATTTCACCTAGAATATTTGACAATGCAAAGTTTGGTGGATCTGGCAATCCTAAGAAGTCATAAAATTCCAGCGGATTTGGAGGTGCTGATAACACTAATATAAACAATAGTTAAAACTAGATCAATCCATTTTCACTACCTTTGATTGATAAGAACACCCAATAAAGCACCTAATTTATAGATAACACCGATTCAACAGCCTTAATAAACTAGAATAACTCAGCAGGCAATGTGGACTATCAGCAAATTTACAATTGTCAAAATAATAGAAGTTTGAATCTTAGAGATAATCAGAAATTTGGAGAAATGGAGAGTTTACTCGAATCATAAGCAGAAATAAAACACAACTCACAGTCAAACACTGGTATAGATCAAACGAGTGGATCATTCCTAACAGAAACTAAGATTGAATTGAAGTCTACAAATAAATTCAATCTCAAAAATCTAAAGTTAAAAGCCTTGTAATCCCCGCAACAACATCACTAGTTTTTTGTGTAGTCTCAAGAGAGATAAAGCTCTATGAGTAGTTATAAGAATTCCTTTATCACCGAATAGCAAATGTAGCCAGATGCTAGTGCAGTAACATTTTAAAGACCCCATGACCAGCCCAAGTCTAAAATCTCGAGTGGCACATAATTTCCTGCAGATCAAGGAGTTTTCACCAGTGTCTAAAAGATATGTTCATCCTGTAATAAAAAGACTAGTGGTAAGTAGCAGTTTTCTTTCGACTCTCAACAGATTGAGTCTATATAAAGAGTAAAAAGGAAAAATTACTCGTGCTTAAGTGACGGAATGCTAGAGGAAGAGTCTTTTGAATTTGAGGAGCCACCACTCAATCTGAGACAACCCTAATAAAGACTAAACTTGAATCTACCTAGACTAAATAATTCTGTGATCGAGCACTCTGATATATCCATTAGTAATAGTATAAAACCTAATATTTCTCCCAGTTACAACGTGATAAGGGACAATCCATTTTTCACAAATTTTGCTAAAAACTACAATCAAAAACTCATTAGAGCGTTTGAAGAAGCAGATAAAGCCAACTCTAATGAAGCAGCAGGTAATTGCGCAAGCCTTAAACAAGATGTGCTAGCTTACATGGAGTAAAATAACGAAATCAGATAGCTAATAAAGGAGGAGGCATTGAAAAACGCGACTTTGGTTTCGACCAAGGGAAAGATAAAGAAGGTGCTTATAAATAAGAAATAACTTCAAAAGATCATGAATGACCATTAAAACAACAACTCTTAGAACAATAACAACTCGTCTAACAATAATAATAGTACTAATGAAAACATATCTGGTACTGTAGCTCTTCTAAATGATAGCAATGAAGACGGATCTAGAAATGGAAAGAATAGTAGTGATGTGAAGGCAGGAAAGTAAGAAATAATGAAAAATTACGGTAGATGGTATTTAAAACCCAATGACTTCAATAAAATTATGAGTAACTTAAAATGACTATCAGTCAAATGAAGATATAAACATTTTACTATTAATTTTTATTTCAAATGATCACACTTATCAAGTCCATTTATTTATCTATCCACTATTCCTGCGGGGTTTTGGGGTTTTGGGGTTTTGGGG